GGCTGGGGATTTAGCTCAGCGGCAAAGCGCCTGCCTGGCAAGTACAAGGTCGTGAGTTCGATAAAAAAAAAAAAACCAAAAACAAAAAAAGTGAAAAGGCCATAATCTAGAAATGGCAGAGTGTGTTCCTGGTTTGTTTGTTCATTTGTTTGTTTCTGCCTTGTTTCAGAAAATATTTAGGTGGTTTATGTTCGTCTTTTAATACTGGAATGGCTAGAGATGAGGCTGAGATGGGCAGGAAGAATATCTTCAAAAGCTTTGTATTTGATACTGTTGAATAAACTTTATATTGTGGAACTTGAAATCTAGAGAAGTGATATTATCAGATTTGTGTTTTAGAAATTTTCTGTATTTAATGAAATTAAAGCATGTAGCAGATATGTGTGGTTTCATTTTTGTAAAAGAAGCATGTGTGTATTTTTATACGTGTTTATATATATATATATATACACCTGTATATGTAAAAGAAAAGGTCTGTGAGGATGTACACTACCTTGTTCACAGCGATGACCTCCAGGGAATGGGAGTGGATGGGAGAGGGTTTGTGTGGTTGTATGTATACTGGGTGGGTACTGTACTTTTATTTCTGTATTTGCACTTTTTTTACAAGTATGTATTATTTTTGTAATAAACTTTTAAATTCCAGCAGTAGTGTGGAGAATGGTTTGGAGGGGAGTAAATGTAGCTCAAGTAAGGGGGAATGGAACCTGAAGGAGGGTTGCGGCATTGAGTTAAGGAGGAGAGGGATAGATTTGAGACATCTTTAGAGGTAGTATGATTAACAGGACTTGGTAACCACTTGGCGTTTAGGGGAGGAGAAGGAAAAATTGAAGGTGACTTCTATAATTGTTGTTTGGGAGACTGGATGGATACATGATACTCACTTATTCATTTCAATGTTTATTAAACCAAGTATTTTTATTTTTTTGTTTTTGTTTTTGTTTTTCTTCCGGTATGGTACCAGGAATCAAACTCATGACCTTGCATTTGCCAGGCAGGTGCTGTGCTGCTGAGCTAAATCCCCAGCCCCTAAACCAAGTATTTTTATCAAGCAGTCTGCCACATGGTAATACAGAAGTAAAATACAGTTCCTGACTGCAAAGTACTTAAGGTCTAGAATGAAAGATATGTAAATAGATAAGCTTAATAAAAAGTGATCATTATAACAGTTATTTACAAGGTTCTAAGAATGCTTCACAGAGGGGACTTTTTAAAAAGATAGAGACCGGATGTGCTCACGCACACCTGTAATCCCAGTACTCTTGGGGGATGAGGCAGGAGGATCGCTTTGAGTTCAAAGCTAGCCTGGGCTACAAAATGAGTTCAAGGCCAGCCTGAACTGCATAATGAAACCCTGTCTTAAAAAGATAAAAATAAAAAGAGCATGAAGAATAGGGAGGAATTTACCGGACAAGTCATAGGGGGTTAGAGAGGGAGGATCACTCTGGCAGCAGAATGAATGTGAGTAGAGAGGAGTGATCAGATGAAAGAGTGAGACCTAAATGACCAGGGTACTAGCAGTAGGGATGGAATGAGATACGTCTTAGTGACTGCACAGTAGAAAGACCGGCTAGAACTCAGGTTTCTGATTTAGGTGACTGAATAATATACTCTTCACTGAAAAAGATTGAGAGTGGAAGGTAGGGGAAATGGCTATGTTTAATAGGAAGCATGTGATTTTGAAATATGCGTTTTAAGACTTACAAAAAGCCAGGCATGGTAGCACATGCCTGTAATCCCAGTACTCTGGGAAACGCATGGGGAGGCCAGTGTGGGCCATAGTAAGACCCTATCTAAAACGGATTTATGAAACTTTGGGCGTAGGTCATATCATTCAGGAGGCATGTGTATCGTCAGAAGAGCATAAAGGACAGAATCTTGGTGAAGACCAATATTTAGGGACTACCAAAAATAGAATACCTGAAAAGTGGTATTTCTCAAACTAAGGGGTTTTACAAGAAAGAATTCAGGTGTGGTGGCGCATGTCTGTCATCCCACCACTCTGAGAGGCTGAGGCAGGAGGATCACAAGTTGGAGCCCAGGTTGGGCAACTTAGTGACTTAGCAAGACCCTGGCTTAAATTTTTAAAAGGTCTGGGTATACAGCCCAATGTAAAGGCTTTGGGTTCAGTGCTTAGTACCAGAGAGAGTGAGCAAGCGAGCAGGAGAGAGAAACATAGATACCACAAAGAAGTAAAATCAGAACTGACCCAAAAAAGTTGTTTTTGAAACAGGGTCTTCCTGTGTAGTTCAGACTGGCCTTGAACTCACTACATAGCCCAGGCAGACTTCAAACTGGAGATGATCCTCCTGCCTCAGACTCCTTAGTGCCAGGATTACAGGCATGCACCACCATGCCTGGCCTGATGAGAATCTTTGGAGTTGGTGATTAGTATGTCCCTGTTGACCTGAACTAGCAAAAGTTTTAGCAGAGTCAGAAATTGGAATCTAGCTAGGAGTACAGTGAATAGCACATGGGAGGTGAGGAAGTGATAGAGATCACTATTTCAGGAAGCTAGGCTCTGAAGAATAAAAAAAGGAGTTTTAAAATGGAAGATAAGTATGCTTCCACAGGCTTAGGGGAAGAAACCAATAGAGAGGGAGTTGGAAAAAAAGCAGAACTTGTGAAAACAGGAGGGGAAATTAGTCAACATAGGTAGAAAAATTTGCCTTAGGAGAGATTTTTTTCCCTGAGAAGAACAAAGAATGGCTGATGTTATAGATCAGTATACAGATAAAGGAGATAGGAAGCTGGGGGAATTCATATTTCATAGCTTCAGTTTCCTTCATGAAATAAGATCATCTTTGCCTTTAAACCCTTCTATTTAAGCATTTTTTAGTTTTTATTTTTTAATGGTCACTGAGGAAAATGGGAGCTGGACCTGACTAGAAATCCCTCAAAGGATTACTAGCTGTTTAATGCACAAGTGAGACAATGTTAATTTAAACTGGTACCAATTTAGTGTGTGGTGTGTGTGTGTGTGTGTGTGTGTGTGTGTGTCTTGTCTCTGATGGTTTCTCCAAAAGTGCTTGGCAATACAGCTGTCAGGATATAGAAGCAGAAAAAAATAGTTTGGGTGAAGGCTTGGTTATAAAAGATAGATTGGGGGCTGGGGATTTAGCTCAGCGGCAAAAGCGCCTGCCTGGCAAGTGCAAGGTCGTGAGTTCGGTTCCCGGTACCGGA